AGCCTCCCAAGTAGCTGGGACTACAGGCGCCCGCCACAGCGCAGGCCATTTTTTGGTTGTTGTTTGGCGGGTCCAGGCTGGGGATTCAAACCCGCCACCTTAGGTGTATGTGGCTGGCGCCTTAGCCGATTGAGCCACAGGCGCCAAGCCAAGCTCTGGAGTTTCTAACTAGCCTGAGCCTGAGCGAAACCCAGTCTCTACTAAAAACAGAAAAACTACCCAAGTATTGTGACGGACTACTATAGTCCAAGCACTTGGAAGCCTGAGACAAAAGGATCTGTTGAGCCCAAGAGTTTGAGATTGATGTGAACTCTGATACCATGGCACTCAGCCCCAGTAAAACAGAATGAAACTTTGTCTCAAACAAACAAACAAACAAAAAAAGGGTCATGTTTTGGTTTCTATGACATTTTCTCAAGATTTTTCTATATCTCTAAACACTCAGGAATTTCCTTTTCCCAGCCCTATATCCAGAATTACTTTATGTCAAAAAACTCTTCTTACGTGGTGTTACCTAAATCAAAGTCTTCAGCTACCACTCATAAAATACTTCATAGCCCGATGTCTCATACATCAAGACCTCACTCTGGTACTCTAAACCCACATACCTGTGGCACTATAGCAGATGATTCTACATGGATGTTCGCAGATAACTTTTACTTAGAATGTTCAAAAGCTAAAATACTACTGCTCTCCAAATTTGCTGCTACTCCTGAATTCCTGTCTCAATACACTTTACCACTGTTTATTCAATCACCCAAGTGAAAATCCAAGTCATCTTTACCCTATTATTTCTCCCTCACTCCCCATAGCTAATTGTTGTTGAATGCTATGAATTCTACTCTCTAACGGACCATCTCAGTTTGAGAGCTAAGACCCTTATCTCCCAGCTCAGCAAAAATGTGCTAACCAATCTTTCTGTATCCATTTTTACCTTCTCTCTATCCCTTCTGAAATCCATACTTTATAATTTCAGCATAATCTTTCTAAAATGAAAGCCTTATAATATCTCTTTCCTAATTAAAATCCATAAACCATAGGAAAAAACAGTAAAGGCCATAAAATAGCATGCAATACTTTTGAAGCTGCACCTTGTCTTCAGCTACTTACCAACACAACCAAAGCTACAGTCACAAAAAAAGTCCCATTCATAGAAATGTTCGTGTTCTTTCTCACCTACAAGTCTCTGTCCAACTTTCCCTCTGCCTTAAGTTCCTTTCCCCCCAATTTCTTCCTCAGTCATGACTAAGCCTTCTTTAAGCATAAGGACATAAATATATAAGACTTAACACAGTGCCTCTCACATAGCACAAGAGTTAAAAATGGGCTGAGCTAGCTTAGGTTTCTCTTCTTTGTTGTCTCAGTGACTCCTATTTGCTTACAAAATAACCTTGAAATCACTTCAATGGTATATGTGTACAGGACTACTCATAATCTGGCCTCTGCCTACCTCTCCAGTTTCATCTTGCCACTGCCCTATACTACACTTGCTAGCTATACCTGCAGATCCTACTCTGTAATTCCGTACTTGCATGCTTTTGCTCACACTGTCCTTCTTTGTATACCTATACACTTGTTTTCATCACCTTCTGCAGATAGCTCTTCGTTACTACTGCCCTCTTCCTCAACCTCTGCTTTTCTTCCCTTAAGTAACTAACCACTACCTCCTTTGTACATCCACTGTACTCCCGTATTTTCTCTACTCAAAACAATCTTAAAAACCTATTGTACTTGACAGTTCAAGTAAGAGATAAAGTTTGACCACTCTGAAGCAGAACAGTGCCATAATTATCCACTTGCTACACAGTAATTCCTGTTTTTTAAACAACCCACATTTTTCCTTCCTCCTTCTTATATGTATATACTAAGAAAGTTTCTTTTTCTTTTTTTGTTTCTTTCTCTTTTTTTTTTTTTTTTGAGACAGAGT